GAGGAAGACTGCAGCGTCGTCAGCGAAGAGGGAGAGGATAGCTCTTTGGGTTGTTGTGGGTGTTGGGATCTTTAGGCCTTTAAGGTTCGTTGCATTTCGGATTGCTCCCGATAGTGGCTCAATTGCGATGTTGAATAATAGGCAGGAGAGGGGGTCTCCTTGGTGTACCCCTCTTATGACTTGGAATTTTTCGCTTGTGTGGCCATTCAGGATAACCCTTGTGTTGGCTTCGCTGTACAGCGCTTTAATGGTGTTTGTGAGGTTGTTTGGTATGTTCATGGCTCTTAGGGTTCTCCATAAGTAGTCGTGTCTGATTGTCAGGGGACGACTCCCGGGTCCCCATGACCCTCCCCTATGGTCCACAACCTCTGGTCTGGCCAGCCCTATCCAGGGCACAATCCTACTGTGGGTAAGGAGATGAGAAGGAAGCTAACTTCTCATCTTCCCACAGTGGCCACAATATCAGCAAAACTTCCGGGGATACCCGGAAGTCACATGAAGGGGTAGAAACCGGGTCCGGAGCATGCGGTGCGCGGAGCGTGCGTGCATGCGGGAAGCGCAGCGGGTGGAAGCGGGTCCGGATGCGGGTCCGGGTCCGGGCTAGTCAGGGTGTGTGCCCTGACACTGATGCGGTCATAGGCTTTTTCTTGGTCTAGTGCTATGATGGCTCCGTCTTGGCTGATGATCTCGCACAGTTCTATCATCCTATTTACCAGGTCTATCTGGTCGAAAATACTTCTATTTTTGATGAATGCCGCTTGGCATTTGTTTATGAGTTTGGGGGCTATGGGTTGTAGTTTGTTCATCAAGGCCGTTGTTATTATTTTATATTCTGCATTAAGTACTGTGACTGGTCTGTAGTTTACTATTGATCTTCTGTCTTTTTTTTTATAGATGGGGCATATCCAGCCTTCTAGGATTTCCGGTGCCTGGATTCCATGCTCCTCTATATCATTTGCGGTTTTGAGGAGTAGTTTTATGATGTTGAGTCTTCCCTTATCATTGTGTTTCTTGGACCTCCACCTATTGTCTAGTTTTTTGTATAGCTCTGTTGGTATACCGTTTAGGCTGGGGGCTTTCCCGTTCGGTGATTGTCTTAGTGCTAAGCTTATGTCATCATGGTTTAGGGGTTTTCCTAGTTCCCTTGCCTCCTGGTTGGTGAGTTTCATGACATTTTCTAGCGTTTATCTGATGCAGTTTTCTCTGGTGTGTTCGGGGATGTTGAGGTCTTTTTGTTGGATTGAGTTGTAGTGGGACACAGCCAGTTCGGTCATTTCTTTGGGGTCTGAGGTGAAGGTTTGTGGGACGGTGTCTCTTTCTAGTTCTGTTATGGTGTCTCTTGGTTTTGTTTTGTTGCCCCAGCGGCACCAGTATTTATTGATGGATTCTGCTAGGAGCCGTTTGTTGGCTTTGGAGTGGGATTTTATTTTCTCATGTCTTTGTTTTTCTGTTTCATTAATTTTTTCTGTTAGCATTTGGATACGTTTTTGGTCTATCTGGAGTTTGGTTTGGTTTTGGGGGTTGAGGTTTGTAATGATCTTGTCTCTTCTTCTTGTGAGTTTCTTGATTGTGGAGTTCATTTTTCCTGATTCCATCTTACCGAGTTTTCTTGCTAGGCTTGCAATGGTCTGGGTGAAATGTTGGAGGTGCTGTTGGGTGTTTGTGGTGCTTTGGTTATCTATCTGGGTGAGGGTCTCGTTCCCGAGTTTTTCAACTTCTGTTATAAATGTTTTGTCATTTATCAGGTATTTAGGCATTGCCCATCGGCCTCATCCGATCACTGGGGAGTAGGGGTTGTAAATGCTTGTTGTTACTAGTTGGTGGTCCGTTGTGGGGATCTCGGGGTCTGTTATTTCCCAAGTGGAGGATCTCTCTATGATGTCATTTGTCGTGTATATTCTATCGATTCTTGACAGGTAGTTTGCCGATGTGTGGCCAAATGTGAAGTTCTGTGTGGGTGCCGGGTTTGTTTTCCTCCATCCGTCACTGAGGTTGTGGGCGCTAGTAACTTTCCTGAGGGCCTCTATTGCTTCCTTGGCATCGGAGTGTTGGGGGAGTCGGTCAATTGCATCTTCAACCATGTTAAAGTCTCCTAGCATTAGGTTGATTTCCATGTGGGTTGTGAGGCTGTCAATTCTGTTCCAAAACTCGGTATTCTCGTGTCCGGGGTATGTCATGTTTGGTGCATAGATTGCTAGAATGTTTAATTGGTTTTCCTGTGTCCATTTTAGGTTTGTCAGGAGTGCTTGGCCTGGTATCAGGTTTACCATGAGGGTAGGGTCGCTTTTAATGATGTCTTTGTTTACTATTATTGCTACACCGCCAGCTCTGGGGTGTTCTGGGTTGTAGGAGTGTAGTATGTGGTGGGTTGTCTTATATCTATTATTTAGGTATTCTTCTTGGGTTTCGTCTGTATGAGTCTCAGATAGGCATAGTATTGCAATTTTATCTTTTTTCATTTTGTTCATGATTAGGTTCCATTTGTTTCTGGTGTTGCGGCTATTGGTGCCTTTGATGTTTAGGGCGCCTATTGTAATCTGCCCTATTTGTGGCAGGGGGTCACTCCCACCTCTGAGTCTTAGAGGGCTGTTTACTGGGGTGGTTTTTACTTTGGGGTCTGGGTTGTTCATTTGGTCCGGGGAGTCATATGTTCCTGTTTGTGTTTGTGCCACAGCTCGCATGGTACTCACCCTCCTACCCACTGTGGCCAAGGCATGGGGGAGAGGCTGGATTGCCTTTGCGGCCCCTTCACCTCCAAGCTTGGATGAAGGGGGACCTTGTGGTTTGGGGCTGATATGCCAGCCAGCACTATCAGGTGGTGCCGGTTTCACCACTCTCCCCTCCGGGATTCCATGGGGTTCCAGAGGGGCCGGTGTTGTGTTGGATTTATTGTGCTTCGTCATGTTGGGGTTTTAGTCAGTTTGAGAACCTGACTAGGTTCTTGGGTCATGAGGGTTGGGATTGGTATTTGTAGCGATTGGGTTAACTTTTTTGGGGGTTTATGGGGCAGTATTTACATAGCGTATCTACCTCTCATTCCAGTAGGGTGTCTACCACGGTATCCCCTGTGTCTTGTGGCTCTTCCTCTGTGTGTTCCACATGCGCTACCTCTGCCCCTGTAGTATGTGTGGGTTTCCATGTTCTCCGGGTTCTGGTTACTGATTTGTTCAGCTGCCAAGGCGATGTTGGCGTTGGCCCTGACGGCATCATTCGGTTTGTCCGGGGTGATGATCTCTTGCCAGAAAGGTAGTTCCGCTAGGGGGCATTGGAGGGTTGAGTGGTCGCATCCTTTGCAGCACCTGCAGGGTTTGGGGGGATTTCTTTTGGCACCCTTCGAGATGGCCAGGTGGTACCACACCATGGCTTCCACCGGCCAAGGCCCAAGAAGGAAGGAAGGAGGATGGGAGTCGGGAATGGCTAGCTGACTGAATAGAAGGAAGCAGCAGCCCAAATAGGAATGAGGGAGAATAGCGGAATTGAAATGGACAATGCAATAGTTGCAAGGTCCGGAGTAAGTCCGGAAAGTCCGAACTCGGAGGTTAAACTCCGGAATATTGGCAAACGTAATTAAATGGAATGAGCTAACCAATACAATGGGTATAAGCGGAGGTGGGGTCAAAGTCCGAGGTCAGAGCTAAGACCGGAGGTTCCGGAGACGGAGACGCAAACAGGATTCCGGAGCGGAGGTCCAGAGTCAGGAACATAGGTGTTGCATGCTCATCTGGAAGGTGTCGAGGATGAGGTCGGACCCAGAATGTTCTGGAGTCGGACCGAAGGTGGTGTTGGAGGTGGGATAACCTCTTGGAAGTTCGCAAGGAGGAGGTGGCTGTCAGGGCACACACCCTGACTAGCCCGGACCCGGACCCACGTCCGGACCCGGACCTGGACCCGCATGTGCGCCTCCGCCCTGCACGCTCCGCACACCGCATGCTCTGGGCCTGGTTCCTACCCTTCATGTGACTTCCGGGTATCCCCGGAAGTTTTCGCCATATTGGGGCCACTGTGGGAAAGTGAGAAGTTAACCTTCTTCTCACTTTCTTACCCACAGTAGGCAAGTGTAGCCTACTTCCTATTTATCTATACACTTTCTTACCCACAGTAGCTATGCCCTGAGATGGGCTGTGTTTACAGGCCAGACTGTGGACTGTAGAGAGGGGTCATGGGGACCCAGGGTCCGTCCCCTGACAGTGGCAGAAGGGAAGCAGGACTCTGGAAGTCAGGTTCGGAGTTCCGGGAGCCCGGAACGGAGGTCGGGATTGTATGGATATGACACTCAGCTTAAGTCCATTGCATTGGTGACCTCATTCTACATAAACACCATTCCCAACATTCCTCAACCCCACCTCCATAAGCTCTGTAAGCTCCACAACCTCTGAGCTCCACAGACCATACTCGGCACTTTCGCTGATTGTAATGTATCTTTCACGCTTTCCCCTCATCCTTATTTGGACTGCTGCTTTTCTCCATTTTAGCCAGTTAGTCATCATCCCCACTTCTCCTCATCCTCCTGCCCCTCTGGGCTTTGCCCTCCCTATCTCCTTTTGGATGTACCACAGGTTCTAAACCTATGACCTTCGGTGCCATCCCGCTTCCATCATCCCTCTGTCCCTGTTTGGATGCCTTTGTTCTGATTCGGACCCCCTTTGTTTCCTTGTGCTTTCGCCTCTCTCCATTATATACAGGTGCTTGTACATACTTGTTTTAGGCCCTTAGTCTAAAATCGACCTGAAATGCCCCCTAGAGACTTCCTGCTCATCTCCTCTGAAATTAAGGACCAAATGGACAAACAGCAATGGCACAGTGCTCTGCATGAGTTGCTGAGGCCAAGGTCCCTCCTTGCTAAGTCTCCAGTTCCCCTCTGGAATCATCCGCCCTTGCCCAGTTCTAACACACTCCACCCAACTCAGTTGGGTACAAAGGCTTCATGTGATGCCTCCCAGTTGTGCAGGGAGCCAAATCCAAGCCAAACTTATGTGGCAAAACCTGCCACATCATCATTTATGCCCGGGCCCCTCCACATGGGCCTCAGAGCATTACTCCTCCCATTCTATGTGATGGGAAGGCATCAGAAGCAACCAAACGATTGCTCCTGCTCGCCCAGGGAGCCGTTTGGAGCTCCAAAAAATGTGGAAAAATCGTCCACATCTTCAGAATCATCTCGCGTCAGCCGCATGACATCCAGCTCGCAATATTGCAGCAAGCCAGTTCACTCCCAAGTCTATTTGACTGGGAGTTACACAAAACCATCAAACAATCACTTCCACTGGCACGGGAAGCCATTTTTGATTCCAAAAAATGTGGGAAAATCTTCCACATCTTCGGCATCGTCTCACATCCGCTGTGAGACATCCAGCTTGCAATATAGCAGCAAGCTGGTTCACTCCCCAGTCTATGCGACTTGGAGTTGTCATAAACAACCAAACGACCACTCCTGCTTGCGCAGGGAACTGTTTGGAGTTCCAAAAAATGTGGAAAAATCGTCCACATCTTCGGAATCGTCTCGCGTCAGCCGTGAGACGTCCAGCTCGCGATATAGCAGCAAGCTGGCTCACTCCCCAGTCTATGTGACTGGTAGTTGTGCAAATCGATCAAACAAGAACTCCTGCCAGCACAGGGAGCTGTTTGTGATCGCAAAAAATGTGGAAAAAACTTCCACATTGTCTACATCATCTCACATTAACTGTGAGACGTCCAGCTCATAAAATTGCAGCGTGCTAGTTTACTCCCCAGTGTATGTGACTGGGAATTGTGCAAAACAATCAAACAACAACTCCTGCTCATGCAGGGAGCCATTTTTGATGGCAAAAATGTGGAAAAAACCTCCACATCGTCGTTACCGTCTTGCAGCCATAGTGAGACGTCCAGCTTGTTGGAGAATGGACATCTGCTCCCATCAGTATAGAGTTTAACAGCCTATACCGGCATGGTCAAATGGGCGAGTTGTGTAATGGTAGCACACTGAGAGGTCCTGGTTTCGATGCCAGGCTTGTCCATGATTTTATGTCCTTGTCTTGTGACCTTAACTGTATCATTCAGTTGGATCTCACGGAGTAAGTCCCGCGGGGCAACGTGAAATTTCTTCACAGCTCACTGCCTAGGTGCGAGCCGGTTCAAACCCCAGTCTATAAGACTGGGAATCATCCAAAACCCTCATGGAATGATCCCCATTTGTGCAGGGAGCCAGTCCTGAGTGAAAGAAATGTGGAAAAAATCTCCACATTGCGGTCATCGTCTCACAACTGCAGTGAGACTAGCACTTCATCCAGGAATGATGTTACAGGAATGGGTTCCGGGGAACCCAACCTGAGCCGTTCAGCTCACTAATGGAGGTGGCTGCATAGCCATCAGAGGGAGAGCAGAATAGGATGAGGGTATGGGAGTACAACCTGTGTGTCGGCCAACGGTAATTTGGCACTCCTGGGAGCGTACCGGTAGCAAGTATGATGTGGGCTCCTTGAGGGAGCCACCTGGCTGTCTGCTAACAGGGACTTGGCGCTCCTGGGAGCGTGTCGGTAGCAGGTGTGCTGGGAGTGTTTGGCTAGCGGTGACTTGGCGCTCAATGGAGTGTACCGGTAGTGAGGGATACTGGGACTCCCAAAGGGAGTCACCCAGTTGGTGGCTATCAGTGACTTGGCGCTCATGGGAGCGTACCGGTAGCGGGAGTTGTTGGGGAAAGCGGGCTGGTGGACCAGTGCACGGTAGTGGGTGACCGTGGGAAGTGGGACCCACGGGTGCATGGCCAGGCATTTTGGAGCTGCCTGGACCGTATCCTTCTCCTGAGGAGGTGGGATAGGCTACAGTTCCTGATAGGGAACTTCTGGTTGGATGGGAGTAACCACTCGACCACCCGGTGGACTGGTGGGAGTGGACAGCAGGAGGTTGGGCATGGGAACGCCCTCCTCGTTGCAGTTTTGTCATGGAGAGGAGGAATAGGGAGGTGGACATGGTTCCAGGGTTACAGGTTGAGTTTACAGTGGTGACACAATGGTGAGGATGTTACAATCGCGGTACAAGGTTTGTGGGTTATGTATTTGATAATGAAAGACATTTTTCGGCATCTGCCTTACACATCATATGACTTCTAACTATCTAATATAAAAGTCACAATGGTCAGGGGAAGTCCCTTGAAACTCAACAAATTCCCCAGCCAGCACCAAAACCCAGTGGGAAAGCTTGGCATGGGGTTTGACAGCGAAATAAAGGTGCAGGGACCAAAGGTTTGATTGTTCATAGTCACGGACCATAAGATTCTAGGTCCATTCCTATAACAAATGAGCACATCCACTCTAACATGGACAAAGAGTCCATGTCACCCAAATCGACACATAATCCTGCATCGATTTCACCTCTATCCAAGGCACTTCTGGACTTTGTCCAGTTCCCACCTGAATGGAGGGTGGGGAGCACGGAACAGATAATCGCCAGACTAGAAGTCTGGGAATCATTAAGGAAGACCAAGGCACACAGTGAGTGCCTTGGGAACCCCAGATCTGGGGGACAACCATCGTTGCATGGACTTAACATATGGTGGAATGGCACCACATCAGGCCACAGGATGACAACCCACACTCAGGGCCAGGTTCATGAGGTGGTGGGAGGTGGTCCAGCCAATTACCCTTTGGGAAGTCACCCATTGCCAAAGCAATGCCAACACCAATTTTTCCTCTGGAAAAACATCATGGTCTATCCATGAGAGACAGAGACCACACTCTCTGTAACCCATTTTTTGGGGAAAATCCCTGAAAGTTTTCAACTTTTCCCCTTTCATCATCTGAAAGGGATACCACTATACCGTCCACTCACTATGGGGAAACCCATCATGATCCACCTGTCCAGCCAACTGTCATATCCGTGCACACCTGACCCCTACCCGACTTCCGGACCTCCACCCTCTTCACCTCCGGAGTCGTACCCTACTGCTGCCGTTCCAATACTTACCTTCGGTCCTGGCAACACACCTCCTTCTTACCCCTCACACCACCTCTACTCCTCCTCCCCTATCTCCGTCTGCTCCGATACTCACCTCGGCCCGAACACCGCCCCTCTTGCCACCCTCCTACTACCTCTCCACCCTCCTGCTCTGCTCCTCCTTCACCCAACCTCCACCCTCCCGTCATCCTCCTACGCTTCCCCCATCCGCTCCGATACTCACCTTCGGACCTGACAACCCTCCTTTCCGCCACTCCTTCCCCCTTACCTTTCCCCTCTCTCCTCCCTCTGGTACTCCTCTGCCACCCTTCTGCCAAGTTATGACCTTCCCCGCTGTCCCGTACTTCGTACTCAGACACCGCTCATACCTTTGCTCCGAGCCTCCGTCATAGTCCCTACCTCGGACTTTGACTCCACCTCGGTCTTAGTCCATTGCATTGGTGACCTCATACTATGTAAACACCATTGCCAATATCCCTCGGACTTTCAACCCTGCCTCCATAACCTCCGTAAGCTCCACAACCCCTGAGCTTCGCGGATCGCCTTCGGCACTTTTGCTGCTTGTAATGTATCTCTCACGTTTACCCCTCATCCCTATTTGGACTACTGCTTCTTCCCATTCTAGCCAGTTAGTCATCATCCCCACTTCTCCTCATCCTCCTGCCCCTCTGGGCCTCGCCCTCCCTACCTCCTTTCGGACATATCACAGGTCCTGCCTTATGACCTTTGGTACCGCTCCGCTTCTTCTACCCTTTGTTCCCGTTCGGACATCTTCGTTCCGATTCGGCTTCCCTTTGTTTCCTTGTGCTCTTGCCCCCTCCATTATATATATCGGCACTTGTACATACTCGTTTTGGTTCAGTCCGAAATCGACCTGAAATGCCCCCTAGAGACTTCCTGCTCACCTACTGTGAAATTAAGGACCAAATGGACAAACAGCAATGGCACAGCGCTCCGCTTGAGTCGCTGAGGCCAAGGTCCCTCCACGCTAAGTCTCCGATTCCACTCTGGAGTCGCCCGTTTCCGCCCGTTCTAACATTTACCACCTAGACACCAGTCTAGGGGGGAGAACCCTGCAAAATTTGCAGAGGTAACTGACATTCATTTATTCTAGCTTTCATTCTATTATTTAAAAATTTCTAACATTTCACTCACTTACCATTACACTCCTTTTTTTTTACTTTCTACTTTCTCTATTTCATCACTTACCACATAAAATTGTCATGGAAAAGATTGTTTTTTCTTTTCTCTCTGTTTCATGTACCCTTTCCCTCTTTCTCTTTGTGTGTGCTGACAAGCAACACAAGGGGGGAGAGTGTCAGGTCATGGTCCATGTATATAGGGGGTCATGTGGCCCAGCCTGGAGGTCACTACATCCTACCCACTGCAAATCATACATATTTGATACTCACAGCTGGGTTCTAGGACACCCACCTTACACTGAGCCAGACTTGATCGCCTTCTTTGTACTCAGGCACCACTTCTCAATTTCGGTCATAGTAGTGGGCCATCTCCTCCACTGCATGCTCTAGTACTGCCTTCGCCTCTTCCTGCATTTTCATCATTCTCAAGGTGAATGTGTCTGTGGCTTTGACTTTTGATACATGCATAGGTTCTGTCCCCATCCTGGGGTGTTGCCCAGTGTCAAGCTTGAAGGGGGTGTGGTGGGTGGATGCATGGATGCAGTTGTTATGGGAGAACTCCACTAGTGGGAGCCAATCTGCCCAGTTGTCCTGGCAGTGGTTGATGAACACTTGGAGGTAGGCTTCTATCTCTTGGTTCACCCGCTCTGTCTGTCCATCCATCTGTGGGTGGTATGGTGCTGAGTGGGTTAGCTTGACTGCTAGCAGGGCTGCTTGCTCTTTGGAGAACTGAGAGATGAAGGTGCTCCCTCTGTTGCTGAGAATCTCCTTGGGGAGCCTGTGATGCTTCACTTGGAGAGGCAGTCCACCACAACTAAGATGGTGTTGTAACCCTTTGACTTGGGGAGCCTCCGATCATATCTATGAAGATTACCTGCCAGCAGTGAGTGGGGACCTTGTTTGGCATGAGTTTCCCCACCTTCCACGAGGGGAACAATTTGACTCGGTTGCAGGCATCACACCCTGCTACATAACAGCCTACATACTCCACCATCTGGGGCCACCAGTAGTCGCAGGAGACAAGCTCCAGGGTTTTCCATCACCCCAGGTGTCCCATTGCCTGTGCTGTAGGAGGGCACACCAAATACACACAAATGAGGCCAGAATCGCGTTTTTCGAGGCACCAACGAGCACCCTCAAGCCTCCGACACTTTCCCAATGCCAACGGCACATTTTCACATTTTTTCCAATTTTTTCCATGCTCTTTTCTCAAGACTCATGTTGCCACTTCCCCAAAATCCGCAGTTATCTACTATTTCTCCCCCAAATCTCTACCAATTCATACGATTTTGAGCTCGATGGACAGCGAAGAATCAGGAGAGGAAGATTGAATGACGGGACAGGAGTTAGGACGACGGATACGCGGTGGAGAAGCAAGATTGATGGTTGATATTGATTTCATGGGTTCATTTATTAATTTCATTGTCACCTTGTGGTCCACCCTTTAGCCGAGATGCTAACATTCTTCCTGTTCCCATTGCCACCATCTATCACCTATTTCTCTTATTTTTTGTTCTGATTTCCCTTTCTATAAATATGGCCAGTTTATCTTGTACTTGTCAGGATACCGAGCTGCTCGGAGCTAAGGTCAAGGGATCCAGTGGAAGTGGAGGTAAGACTAGGAAGGTCTGGGTCAGTCTCAATAGGAGAACCATGAGGTGTGCTAGGCGACACAGGCTCCAGCTGAGCAGTGAGGGGAAATAAGCTGGTCTTCCTACTTGCTACTCAGGGTGTAATATACTGTAGCCCACACAGAAGAAAGCTGGCCTTCCTACTCGCTACTCAGGGTGTAATATACTGTAGCCCACACACACAGCTAATCTACAAGGCACTGTACATACCAACAATCAATGATCCAGGTTTGTCTGGCTGTGTTGGATCACAGATCATGGAATGTGGATCTTGGAGTGGGATCAGATCATAAGGCTGTACAGGGATCATGGATCATGGAATCTGGGCGATCATAGATCATGGAATCAGATCATGATGGTAAGTAGGCTGGAAGTGGCCGGAAGTGGGTGTACTCTGACAGTACTTATGTTGTTGGACCCCTCTTCTGTGCTACAAAGAATGTGGCATTGAGAGATCCCTCCATACGTTAAAGTAGCTCCTGACGACTGTCCAAGAAGGACCAGGAGTGAGTACAGATTTAGTGAGATTTGATTGATTGATTGTCTAGCACCTGGACCACAGTGCAGTATCAGCACTGTTTGTTATGGAAATGGAGAATCTTATGGTCTGTGACAGGCAACCAGACCTTGAGGCCCTTTGCTATGTAAATGGGCCTAGACTCCTATAGACCAGGCACATAGGTAAGATATTTCTTACTTCTTCTCACTTCATTCTCTGCCAAACCCCATGCCAAGCTTTCCCACTGGGTTTTGGTGCTGGCTGGGGGATTTGTTGATTTCCAAAGGACTTCCTTTGGCCATTATAACATTTGTATTAGATAGATACAAGTCATATGATATGTATGGCAATTGCCGAGATGTTTTCTCATTATCAAATACATAACCCACAAACCTTGTACCGCAATCGTAACATCCTCACCATTGTGCCACCACTGTAAACTCAACCTGTAACCTTGGAACCATGTCCACCTCCCTATTCATCCTCTCCATGACAAAACCGCAGCGAGGAGGGCATTCCCACGCCCAACCTCCTGCTGCCCGCTCCCACCAGTCCACTGGGTGGTTGAGCGGTCACTCCCATCCAACCAGAAGTTCCCTATCAGGAACTGTAGCCTATCCCACCTCCTTAGGAGAGGGATATAGTCCAGGCAACTCCAGAATGTCTGGCCCCGCACCCACGGGTCCCACTTCCCACGGTCACTCACTACCGTGCACTGGTCCACCAGCCTGCTTTCCCCAACAACCCCCGCTACCGGTACGCTCCCATGAGCGCCAAGTCACCGATAGCCACCAACTGGGTGACTCCCTTTGGGAGTCCCAGTATCCCATGCTACCGGTACGCTCCATTGAGCGCCAAGTCACCGCTAGCCAACTGCTCCCAGCACACCCGCTACCGGCACGCTCCCAGGAGTGCCAAGTCCCCGTTAGCAGACAGCCAGGTGGCTCCCTCAAGGAGCCCATGTCATACTCGCTACCGGTACGCTCCCAGGAGTGCCAAGTTACCGTTGGCCAACCCACAGGTTACACTGCCAGACACTCATCCCATTCCGCTCTCCCTCCAATGGCTATGCAGCCACCTCCATTAGTGAGCCGAACGGCTCAGGTTGGGTTCCCCGGAACCCGTTCCTGTAACACTGTTGCCACCAACCATCCTTTCCCCCCTTCTGACCTGACTCAGACACTACCCCCAGGTCCCTACTCTCTCACCTGGGCAGCCTTCTTGCCTGGTTACAGTGCATTGTGGTGGAGTTGCAGGTCTTTTGGGACATATACCTTCCCCCAGTAGAGGACCAACTCTCCATCTCTGCTCCATTTGTCTGTCCTGAGTGTTCCATCTCCCAGCTCCTTCAGCACTTTCACCACCTTCTCGTTGTGGTCCTTCACTGCATGTATTCTTTCCAGGATGGCTGTTTCTCCTCCTTCCACTGTGATGGCATCATGTCAGAGTACACCCACTTCTGGCCACTTCCAGCCTACTTACCATCATGATCTGATTCCATGATCTATGATTGCCCAGATTCCATGATCCATGATCCCTGTACAGCCTTATGATCTGATCCCACTCCAAGATCCACGTTCCATAATCCGTGATCCAACACAGCCAGACAAACCTGGATCATTGATTGTTGGTATGTACAGTGCCTCGTAGATTAGCTGTGGGTGTGGGCTACAGTTTATTGCACCCTGAGTAGCGAGTAGGAAGACCAGCTTTCTTCTCTCATTTCCTGTCATATCCGTGCATACCCGATCCCGACCCGACTTCCGGACCCCCACCCTCTTCACCTCCGGAGTCACAACCTACCGCTGCCATCCCGATACTCACCTTCGGTCCCAGCAACACACCTCCTTCTTCCCCCCACACCACCTCTACTCCTCCTTACCTCTCCGACCCAATCTCCGTCCGCTCCGATACTCACCTCGGACCGAACACCGCCCCTCACACCACCCTCCTACTACTCCTCCTCCTCCTACTCCGCTCCCCCTTCACAACACCTCCACCCTCCCGTCATCCTCCTACGCTTCCCCCGTCCGCTCCGATACTCACCTTCGGACCTGACAACCCTCCTTTCCGCCACTCCTTCCCCTTACCTTTCCCCTCTCTCCTCCCTCTGGTACTCCTCCGCCACCCTTCCGCCAAGTTACGACCTTCCACCGCTGTCCCGTACTTCGTACTCGGACACTGCTTGTACCTTTGCTCCGAGCCTCTGTCATAGTCCCTACCTCGGACTTTGACTCCACCTCGGTCTTAGTCCATTGCATTGGTGACCTCATACTACGTAAACACCATTGCCAATATCCCTCGGACTTTCAACCCCGCCTCCGTAACCTCCGTAAGCTCCGCAACCCCCGAGCTTCGTGGATCGCCTTCGGCACTTTCGCCGCTTGTAATGTATCTCTCGCATTTACCCCTCATCCCTATTTGGACTACTGCTTCTTCCCATTCTAGCCAGTTAGTCATCACCCCCACTTCTCCTCATCCTCCTGCCCCTCTGGGCCTTGCCCTCCCTACCTCCTTTCGGACGTATCACAGGTCCTGCCTTATGACCTTCAGTACCGCTCCGCTCCTTCTTCCCTTTGTTCCCGTTCGGACGTCTTTGTTCCGATTCAGTTCCCCTTTGTTTCCTTGTGCTTTTGCCCCCTCCATTATATATATCGGCGCTTGTACATACTCATTTTGGTTCAGTCCGAAATCGACCTGAAATGCCCCTAGAGACTTCCTGCTCACCTACTGTGAAATTAAGGACCAAATGGACAAACAGCAATGGCACAGCGCTCCGCTTGAGTCGCTGAGGCCAAGGTCCCTCCACGCTAAGTCTCCGATTCCACTCCGGAGTCGTCTGTTTCCGCCCGGTTCTAACAGGGGTTGAAAGTCCGAGGAATATTGGCAATGGTGTTTAAGGTCACCAATGCAATGGACTAAGACCGAGGTGGAGTCAAAGTCCGAGGTAGGAACTATGACGGAGGCTCGGAGCAAAGGTACGAGCGGTGCCCGAGTACGAAGTACGGGTCAGCGGCGGAAGGTCGTAACTTGGCGGGAGGTCAGCAGAAGAGGACCAGAGGGAAGAAAGGGGAAGGAAGAGAGGAGAGGAGTCAGATCCGAAGGTGGGCATCGGAGCAGACGGGAGAAGAGTAGGAGGATAATGGAAGGGTGGAGGTGTTGTGAGGAGGGAGCGGAGGAGGGAGTGGAGGAGTAGGAGGAGGAGTAGGAGGAGGAGTAGGAGGAGGGTGGTGAGAGGGGTGGTGTTCAGTCCGAGGTGGTTATCGGAGCGGACGGAGATAGGACAGGAGAGTGACGGAGGAGTGGAGGTGGCATGGGGTGGTATGGTGCCAGGGCCGAGGGTGAATATCGGAATGGACAGCGGTAGGGTAGGATTCCGGAGGTGGGGGAGGAGGAGGTCCGGAAGTCGGGTCGGGATCAGGTATGCACAGATATGACACAGTCCCCCTTGTTTGATGTGAAATTCCGCATCTCAAAAGATGCGGGAAAATACCCTGCAAACAGACTGCTCTCAACAAAGAGAACGCTGATGGCTCACATAAAGATAGCAGGCATAAAAGCCTATGCACTATCTGACAGTGGAGCCGAAACGGATGCTTTATTGCCGGACTTTGTCTGTGCGGTCCACATCCCAATTCTCCAATTGGAGAACCCAGTTGTCCTTCAAATGGGGACGAAAGGAACAAGATCACAGATCCTGTTCGGAACAAACGTGGACGTTGAGATTAACGGCCATGTAGAAAAACACTACTTCGATGTAATTAACATCGATAGATACGACGCCATATTCAGCGCCCCCTGGTTAAACAAAAACCAGGTAAGCTTAGACTTCCGGTCCCACAAAGTGAGAATGGTGAACAAGGGCAACATAGACACCCTTGGAGTAAGCGAAGACCATGTGACAAGATCACACAGATGGAAAACTCGAGCAAGAGCTCGAGAACAACCAAAAAAGAGCCCCCCTGACAGGGAGGCAGGATTGAAACACACCTCAGAGTAATCGAAAGAAAGTACCCTGAAGGTTGGCCCAATCCTAGTCTGGAAGGTGTTATGGGAATGGACCTAGAATCTTATGGTCTGTGACTATAGACAATCAAACCTTAGCCCCTTCAACTTTATTTCTTTGTCAAACCCCATGCCAAGCTTTCCCACTGGGTTTTGGTGCTGGCTGGGGGATTTGTTGAGTTTCAAGGGACTTCCTTTGACCATTATGATTTTTATATTAGATAGTTAGAAGTCATATGATGTATAAGGCAGATGCCGGAACTGTTCTCATTATAAAAATACATAACCCACAAACCTTGTACCGCAATTGTAACATCCTCACCATTGTGTCACCACTGTAAACTCAACCTGTAACCCTGGAACCATGTCCACCTCCCTATTCCTCCTCTCCATGACAAAACCGCAGCGAGGAGGGCATTCCCATGCCCAACCTCCTGCTGCCCACTCCCACCAGTCCACCGGGTGGTTGAGTGGTTGCTCCCATCCAACCAGAAGTTCCCTATCAGGAACTGTAGCCTATCCCACCTCCTCAGGAGAAGGATACGGTCCAGGCAGCTCCAGGATGCCTGTCCACGCACCCACAGGTCCCACTTCCCACGGTCACCCACTACCGTGCACCGGTCCACCAGCCCGCTTTCCCCAACAACTCCCGCTACCGGTACGCTCCCATGAGTGCCAAGTCACCGATAGCCACCAACTGGGTGACTCCCTTTGGGAGTCCCAGTATCCCTCACTACCGGTACGCTCCATTGAGCGCCAAGTCACCGCTAGCTGAACACTCCCAGCACACCCACTACCGGCACGCTCCCAGGAGCGCCAAGTCCCTGTTAGCAGACAGCCAGGCGGCTCCCTCAAGGAGCCCACATCATACTCGCTACCGGTACGCTCCCAGGAGCGCCAAGTTACCATTGGCCAACACACAGGTTGTACTTCCGTACACTCATCCTATTCTGCTCTCCCTCCGATGGCTATGCAGCCACCTCCATTAGTGAGCCGAACGGCTCAGGTTGGGTTCCCCGGAACCCATTCCTGTAACAGAAGGACTAGAACTTCCAGACGTACCACATCTGGAAGGTCTCTCCATGAACAACCCCAAGTTCGAAATACTCAGGGAGTGGTGGAGAGAGAAATTCGAAACTGTAATGGTGCCAGCGCCATTAGAAATGCCTCCCTTGAGAGAGGTGAACCATTGAATCCCGTTGAAGGATCTGAACAAGAAATTTCGGGAAAACACCCCAAGATGTCCTGCAGCACTACAGGAAGCATTAGCGAACAAAATAGATCGCTATGTAAAAGCAGGATGGTGGTATCCCATGAACAGCGAGTGAGCATGCCCGCTACTGTGTATCCGCAAAGCAGATGGATCTTTGCGCATGGTAATAGACGTGAGGAATCGTAACTCAAACACGATCCTCGACGTCACACCAATGCCAGACATGTGACTGATCCAAGAATCAGTCGCCAGAGCAACATACCGATCCAAGATCGATATGTCGGACGCGTATGAACAAATACATGTGGATCCAGATGACGTCCATAGGACGACATTCTCTATGCCCCATGGGACATACAACTCGAACACGATGCAGCAAGGAGACTACTGCAACGCTCCCTGCACCTTCCAGCGTGTGCTGACCTGGGAACTACGATGAGAAGTAGGCAGACGCCTACATGTCTGGTTCATCAATATATTCACCAGCACAAGCTGGGTGGAGAACCACAATATATTGTGGTTGTTCACTCGCCTAAAGGGGGCGAAATTCTACATAAGCCAGAAAAAATTCCGGCCATTTGCCCCAATCCTAGACATTCTAGGAAGCCATGTGGACGAACAAGGCATCCACGCTCAAGCGGATAAAATGGAAAAAATCCGCAACTGGCGAGAGCCAGTAGACCACACAGGAGTCCTAAGATTCCTAGGAATGGTAGAATATCTATCGATATTCATGCCAAATGTCAGTGGCTACACAGGACCACTGCAAACAATCTGCTCAAACAAGCAGACATTCAGGTGGACACCACTCCACCAGAAATGTTTTGACGAGATCAAACGTCTAGCATGCAGGGCTCCGATCCTGAAGCCTGTCCAGTGGAATCCACCGGAAAGCCTCTCAGAAGAAGAGAGGACCAAACTCCATGTCTGGGTCATAACAGATGCATGCCCAGCGGGCATGGGCACACTAATTGGACAAGGCGAAAAGTGGCAGACCTGCCGCCCAGCCGCATTCATGTCCAAAAAGTTCACCAACACACAACATAGGTACTTCGCCTACGAGCTCGAGGCACTGGGTGTCCTCGAAGCACTCATGAGATGGCAAGACGATCTCATGGGAGGCTGTGAATTCACAGTAATCACGGACCACAAAGCTTTGGAATATTTTAAAGCGAAAAACCACAACTCAGGTAGACACCTGAGATGGCAAGCCTTCTTCGCAAGCTTCAATTGCGAAATAAAATACATGGAAGGCCACAAGAACAAAGTGGCAGATGCACTCTCATGGTACTACAACTCGTCAACAGACGAGGATCTGCATTTTGACAACTACGTGTTGGCAGACATCCATCTGGACAAAAATGCAGAAGATACTATCCCCGACAGAATCGCGGAATACGAAGAACTGCTGCTAAGCAGTACCCTGAGTAAAAACTCAGAGAGAAAGAGACTCGCAGCAATATGCGCAAGAAATACCCTAGAGGAAGCTCTAGGGGGGAGCGCCCAAAATCTGGAAGAAATCATAATTCCAGAAGAGAACCTTCGAAAACAATTCAAAGAGAAAGACCTCATTGAGGCAATAAAATCTGGATACTTGCAAAGCCAGATCCACCGGGAAATCCTAGAGAACCAGGGGAATTTCAAAAGCTTCTCCATAAAAGATGGGCTGATAACCCGACTTGGAGAAGGAGGAACGACCCAAATAGTAGTCCCGAAAGGGAACTATGAAAGGAAGTCCATTTGAGGAATAATCCTCGAAAACATCCACAAAACACTTGGACACTTAGGATCCAAGAAAACAGTGGAAACCCTCCATCGACACTTCTGGTGGAAGTCAATGAGGAAGGATACCCACAAGTTCTGCAGGTCTCGCGGAACTTGTCAAACAACAAAGAAAAGCACCAGGAGAAATCCCGGACTGCTTCACCCACTCCCGACCCCAGAGACAACATGGTCAGTCGTCAATAGCTATGGACTTCACAGGTCCATTCCCAACAAGCTTGGGATATGATTACC